CCAAATTGAGCGGACAAACCGCCCCACGCGACTACAAAGGCTGCAAATCCACTGAGTATAACCGGAGAAACCTCGAAGGAACATCCATACCGCAGACCGTACCCCCTCCGGAGTCGAATGAAAGCAGCGATGCAAAGTAGGCGATACTCGCGAACATGAAGCACAGAGAAAGTACAAACATGAAGGCGCTTCTAATCGTGATGTTGCTCATGATCATGGTCTCATATCCTGAAGCCTTCTCGGAGTCGGAATTAGGTGTTCGTGTGCCGCAGACCCGTCGTCGGACGCCAGAGGAGAGTAGACACTGAAGAGATGTGACAAAAGCCCATCCCAAAAAGAACGTCGCAATCTGACGACTACGCAAGTTAATTAAGGCGGGAGCGGGATGATGACAAGCGTACTGGTCAGGATGCTCGCTGACTTGGACAACCGTCGGGCTCGGAGCGCCCATTGACAAAAGCCCGTTAAAAGGGTAAGAAAGGTTAGGCCAGCTTTAAAGAACGAAAGAGAGCCCTGCTCAGAAAGAAACAAGGGGTGGAGTCCTGGTATTCGTAAGTACGTACACTCAGCAACTCTTGGTTCTCAAGTTCTCATAGGGTAGCAGGCTCCGGGACAGCCGACAGGCTGCATCGATGGGGTGGGAGCGAAGATCAGAAGGCATGTTCGGTTGGTAGCGCAGACCGGGCCTACAGGAGACGGATTAGCATAGACTGGGAGCAAGAGACTGGCAAGAGAGGAGAGCACATGGAGCGTTTTTGATGACGTCAAAATGTTGCGGCGGCGTGGGAAGAAGAAAGGAGGCGGATGGTGTTTTCGTTGTTCTTTGCTTCCAGACCACGACGACGAACTGTTAACACGTTTGTCTCAGCCAGTCCAACGCAGGAAACCGTATTACGAGTTTACGCCACACTTTTCTTAATCGGCTTCGATTTCGGCCTGTTCGAGATAAGCAATTTATCGATAAGCCATGTCCTCCACTGGTGAGATAATTTAACCCGTTACCTAATCTTTTTCACCGAGACTCACATCTTCACCTCTTCCTCTTTCCATCCATCCTTCATGTCACTGTCCTTGTCTTCCACTCCGTCACGTCGTCAACTGACTCTCCTACGACGTCTGACGCGACAACAGTCGAAACCCCGACTTCGGTGCCACCGTCTGAAACATCGGTGACGATCCCAAGCACAACAACCCAGCCGACGTCCACCACTACACAGCCTACGTCGACGACGACCACCCAGCAGTCGTCGTCTACAACAACCCAAAGCACAAGTGGTACGACAAGCGGTGCCGGCCAGTCGTCCGGAGGTTTATCCACCCAAACCACCTCGCAGCAGCCAGTGACAACAGTCGTGGCGACCACGGTCATTGTCACATCCAATGGCCAGCAGGTAACCTCAGTCTTCGAGGTGTCGTCAACCATCACGCCAACCTCAACGTCCGGCGCATCGTCAACTAATGGCGGTGGCAGCTCCAGTAACACCGGAGCCATTGTAGGAGGCGTCGTAGGGGGTATCGCGGGCCTTGCCATCATCGGCCTGCTCATCTGGTGGTTCATGAAGCGCCGCCAGTCGCGCCGTCTCTCGAAACTGTTCGATGGCAACTTTGACCCGGCGGCTGTCGGGCGTGCGCCAGAAATGGGTGTCGATCTCAATGACGAACGCACGGACGGCATGGGTGGCAGGCTAGCCGGTGCAGACATCGGTGCCGGCGTCGTCTCGCCGTTCCCGCTCTCTGGGTCGTCTCACCACACGACGTCGACTGGCTACAATCCATATGCCCCAAATACACCACCCAGTCCTCCGCCGATGTCGCAGTACTCTCACGAATCGCATTATCCGTCCATTTATAGTCAGTATGCATCAGTGCCGATGCCAGCGGGCGTTCCCGGGCCTCAGCCTGCTCCGAGTATGAGTATGAGTGGCCGCAGTAGCTCGGCCGGCGGTGGAATGAGTGCAAAGGAACGAGAGAGGTGTGTTTTCATTCACTTCTATCCAATCTTGTTCGATTCTGACTGACTGTGTGTAGGGTGCAAGGCCTAAACGTTGCCAACCCAGATGGGCCGTCATCGGGCCCCGTCCTCGTGCATCAAGATGCTGGCCCGTCGGAGATTCCTCCAACATACGACAGTCTTCTCCCTCGCGGAACCTCGAACCAGCCGCGCGATCTAGCCCAGCGAGAGTAAACGAACCCTTCTCCCGCTCCCAACCCGTTAATCTCATGCCTTGTTCCGTCGCCGCCCTCTTTTGTATTGTACCATTATAGACTATTCTCGCACGGACTGGACCCTTTCGCTCACTGATTCTCTTATGACCCGGTACTCTTTTTTTTACCTCGCATTGTAGACCATACCAATCCCTCCCCCGTTTTACCTCTCCCTACTAGTACTGCCGCCGACAAAATTATTTTACTTACTAAGTATGTCTCTTGATGTTCACGATTATGATCCAACCCCTCATTGCGCTTGCGTAGCTCGTAGCTCTATACTTAAACTTTGCTTCCTACGTCCTTGCAGGACTAGGGCGGAAATTGATTGGATTCTATCGTGCGCGTTCGATTGAAGGCGTTTGCTCGCTCTTCCATTATCTAAGACGCGGGTGTCAACCGCACATCCGAGGCTTGTATAATTTGGCGCTAGTAAGCGCAGCAGAGAACTCGGAGATCGACGGAATGCTCAAACTGAGACTCAGCGAAACAGGAGGACGGTTATTTTCGCAAGTGTGGTATGGTATAAATACAACCGGTTTCTTGTGTGGCGCGTCAATGAAGGTGTGGCGCAAAAAAGGCACTACCAGGGTTCGAACCTGGGTTATGGGAAATCATTCTCAAAATCCCATGTGCTGCCACTACACCATAGCGCCTGTGCCTCGCCTCCGTCGTTCAGTACTCTCGCTCCGAACTAGTGTACAATGGCGTCCCTCCCCTCTCTCCGCGCAATAACTCAAATATCTTCTCAATACCGTGAAGCTACACTAGCCTCCGCCATCGATGGACTCGTAGTAGAAGGTGATGGGAAGCTGAGGAACTTGACTCTCGGGCTAGCGTTGAACTGATCATCGGAATGACCACGAGCTTTTGGAGCTGGGAACCTGTCCAGAGCACCCGTGCACGCCATATCACCACTGCATATCCAATGATAATCTGCGAAACGTGTTATTATCGTGGCCAAGGGTCGTCACTCTTGAGGAAAAGTGCTTCCATAGGAAGCCCGTAGGGCTCGATGTGGTCGTTGGTCACATAGATTCTGTCAAGCAGACCAAGGTCGGCGTGATATATGAGCAGATGCCGTAGCCGAATAAAGTGGGAGACAAAGTTCATCGCCCAA